CGCATCCTTCAAGGTGTCAGGAATTACTCAAATTAACTTCTGTTCCCCACAGCACTGGAAGACAGCCTCCCAGAAGTAAGGAGAGAGCCCAACAGTGGAGTGAAGGGAGGTGGACAGGAGCAAGGCCAACAGAGGGGCTGGGCGACATTAACTGGATGGCACTGCTCTCTTTATGGTATCCAAACAGTTCTGAGATGTAGTGCTGGCAGATTAACCTACAACAGCCTGCTGCCCTACACTGGGTTGATCTCAGGTAATACCAAGCCTAATGGCGCTCACCCTGACAAAATCATAAAACAGTTGCATGGAGGCAGGAGGAATCAGTCTGCACAACATTTGGTACACCCTGCAACCAAGCGAGGCTCTCCTCCTGTTGGATCCCACCTGTTAACTGAAGAGGGGCGCACCAATTCTGGATAAGACACCACGCTGCTGCCCTGGCTTCAACAGACTAGAGAGAGGAAACTCAGCTGCAAACCCAAGGGTTGCCAAATGCCCACCTGTGGCTTAGGTACAAATCCTGGAGCCAAGCCCATCCGCCCATGTGCAATGCGTTACTTGCCCAAGATTTTCAGCAGAGTGGGCCATAAGTGTAAAATGAATTGGATACTCTCCCACCCAAATTCATCTGGGAAACAAGATCTCGCATTACCTTCCCATCTTCCCCTTTTCCCTTCAGCCCTAAAAGAGCCTCTCGCCCAGACACCCAAGGACTCCCCTACTCACCATCAGCATCCACCTCGTTGATCATGTCTTGCAATTCAGCCTCGGTGGGGTTCTGCCCCAGAGACCGCATGACAGTGCCAAGTTCCTTGGTGGTGATAGTGCCGTCACCATCCTTATCGAAGAGGGAGAAGGCCTCCTTGAACTCTGAGAGACAACAGAGGAGAATCGGTTTGACCTGGGGCATTCCCCCACATGCCGGCTCAGTTGGTAGAAGCTGCCCGACCACATCAGCCCTGGAAGTCCCTGGGCCCAAATTTCAATAGCATTTTGGGGTCACAACCACTATTTTAGTGGTGGCTTAGTAGGCAAGCATCTCTGTTCTATGGAGAATATTCAGTCTTGGTCATCTCAGTGAAAGGCTCTCGGATACCGGAGGTTGGGAACATCTTTGCCTGAGACTGTCAAACCAGCATCAGAGAAGGCAATTCTGATTAGATGAACCAGGGGACTGATCGGTGAAGGCAAGCTTGTTGCTTCGAGAAGCATGCCTGTCCAACTATAGCATCCTTCTTCCCACAAGAGGCACTTGGCAGTGTGGGACACATACAATTGCTTTATCCTAGATCACACCATTGGTCTATCAAGGTCAGTATTGTCTCCTGTGACTGGCAGCAGCTCTCCAAAGTCACAGAGGAAGGGTCTTTCACATCACTTCCTACCTGTCCCTTTGAACTGGAGATGCCAAAGACTGGGATGTGCTGTAATGCACAGTAGATGTTTTACTGCTAAGCCACAGCCCCTCCTCGCATGCATGTACTATGAAAGGGTACGGTACCCAGGTTCCTTTGATAGAAGATAATATGGCCTAGCGGTTCAAATCCTTGCAAGAACAAAGAAGCTTACTGGGCAGCCTTAACTCAGACATTTTCTCAGCCTCATTCTACGGCTAAAATGTGGAAACATCAGATCGAGAAAGAACAAACTGAAAGAAGCCAGTGGCTACTCTACTGGTTCTGCTTTTTTTTTGTAAGTGTGCAGGAATACGTATTACTGTTTGACAGAGATGGGGAGCCGATGCTGAGAGCAAAGGCATTTGCACACAGAGCTACAGCCAGGCCCTCCCACCACCCAGAGGCCAAAATGGGGTCCCAATCAAGCCCTGCACTCCTGACGCCGGCCCATTTCTCACACCCACTCTTTGCCCTCTTGACTGATTCCATCATCATTTCTACCCCCGGGAGACGGAGACAATTCTCACCTGCAATCTGCTCCTCTGTCAGCTGGTCGGCCTGCAGGGGAAAAGGAGGAGGACAGCAAGAAGGAAAAGAGGGTTACCTGCAATCTGCTGCTCTGTCAGCTGGGCGGCCTGCAGGGGAAAAGGAGGAGGACAGCAAGAAGGAAAAGAGGTTTACGGCTCCAGCCTCTCCCCCAACCACACATCCCAGTCTGATGCAATTGTAACCGGCACCTCTTCCACAGGCTCCCATTTACACCCATAACAACTGCAAGGAATTACTGCATCCCCTGCTCCATGCCCCCTCCATCTCCACCCCCCCCCCCTCATTATTTCATAGCAGCCATTCCTCCAGTTTCCTGGCACACATCTCTTCAGATGCCCAACAGATCCCACAGACCCTCCCCTGGGAACAGTTTAATAGGGAGATAGGTCTCTGCCCCAAGAACTGTGGCACTGGAAGGAGACGACACAGAAAAGAGGGTTCCTAGAGACCCGTTCTCCCATTTCCCCCATTCGTGGGTGGTTGTCGTCATCAACACCCACCACCTAACACAATACATCCCCCTCTGAATGCTCTCCTTTTAAATCACTTCCTAATCCTCCCCCAAGGAGGTTTCTCTTTCCCAGTTGCCCGCCATCATTCTTCCCATCAGAGGGGAAGAGAGAAAACAGCACCTGAGCCCCCTCCCCAGCTTGCAATCTGCTTCTCCTTAAGAGATGGCCTTCCCCTACTCAGAGGCCTCCCCCCTTTATGCTACCAATCTGAAGCCATGCACCCCCTCCCTCTCCAAGATTGCCCCGCTGGCTTATACCATACCCCATTATCCACACCAATGTCTGAGCTAGCAGAGATAACGAGACAGTTGTAAACAGAATCCCCAGCCACATCACTTTCTCCCATGCCCCCAACATGCATGTGTTCTGACTTATAAGTCACTTCCAACTTATGGTGACCCTATATATTAATGACCTCCAAAGCATTCTATCCTTAACAGCCGTGCTCAGGTCTTACAGACTGAAGGCCGTGGCTTCCTCGATGAGAGTCCATCCATCCATCTCATGTTGGGTCTTCCTCTCTTCCTGCTGCCTTCCACTTTTCCTAGCACTGTTGTCTTTTTCATTGACTCTTGTCTCCTCATGATGTGACCAAAGTTACAATAGCCTCTGTTTAGTCATTTTAGTTTCTAGGAAGAGTTCAGGCTTGATTTGGTCTAGGACCCACTTATTTGCCTTTTTGGTGGTCCATGGTATCCGTAAAACTCTCCTGCAACACCACATTTCAAATAAATCAAGTTTCTTCCTGTCAGCTTTCCCACACTGTCCCACTTTCAGACCCATACACAGTAATGGGGAAGACTACAGTGTGATCTTGGTCACCAGTGACACCTCCTTACATCTATGAATCTTTTCTAGCTCCTTCATGGCTGTCCTTCTCAGTCTCAACTACCTTCTGATTTCTTGGGTGCAGTCCCCCTTTTGGTTGAAGATGGAGCCAAGGAACAGAAAAGCTCTAACAATTTCAGAGTGTTCATTCTCAACTTTAAAGTTGCGTAATTCCCTAGTAGGCATTACTTTTGTCTTCTTGATGTTCAACTGCGATCTTGCTTTGGCGCTACCTGCTTTAACCTTCATCAATAGTCGTTTTAAGTCTTCACTCTTTTCTGCCAGTCATGTGGTGTCACCTCCATTATCTGATTAATGTTCCTTCCATCAATTTTCACCCCTTCATAAAAACTGAATCCAGCTTTATGATACGTTGCCCCCAACATACACGCCCTCTAAGAGTAGCACCTCCCAACACATACCCCTTTCATCCCTCCACAATTTTCCTTTCTCAGGGCCCAACAGTTTCCTTACACACACCCCCAAAGGTGTTTGTCACCTTCCTGCTCTAATGCAACCGCACCCCAACTTGTACTCCCCCTTCCCTTAGTTCCCAATTCCCCCCAATGCAAGATTTTTGGAGCGATTCCTTCTTTCCATTTTGACCTCTCTCCCACTTTCTCCACCCTTCCTCCTCTATAGACCAACCCCTCCACTTTCTGTTACAGGCTCACAGATTTTGCTCCTAGCACCCCTCTTATTATTAGCTCTGCTTCCGAACCCCAGTCCTTCTCTCCTCTTCCATGCCAACTTGAGGCTTTCCTCCTACCCCATCACTTCCCCACTTTGATCCATCTCCCATCCACATTATCTAGGCGGGATGGGGTCCTAATCAAGCCCTGCACTCCTGACGCCGGCCCATTTCTCACAACCACTCTTTGCCCTCTTGACTGATTCCATCATCATTTCTACCCCCGGGAGACGGAGACAATTCTCACCTGCAATCTGCTCCTCTGTCAGCTGGTCGGCCTGCAGGGGAAAAGGAGGAGGACAGCAAGAAGGAAAAGAGGGTTACGGCTCCAGCCTCTCCCCCAACCACACATCCCAGTCTGATGCAATTGTAACCGGCACCTCTTCCACAGGCTCCCATTTACACCCATAACAACTGCAAGGAAAAACCTCCTCCCCTGCTCCATGCCCCCTCCATCTCCAAACCCCCCCCCACATTATTTCATAGCAGCCACTCCTCCAGTTTCCTGGCACACATCTCTTCAGATGCCCAACAGATCCCACAGACCCTCCCCTGGGAACAGTTTAATAGGGAGATAGGTCTCTGCCCCAAGAACTGTGGCACTGGAAGGAGACGACACAGAAAAGAGGGTTCCTAGAGACCCGTTCTCCCATTTCCCCCATTCGTGGGTGGTTGTCGTCATCAACACCCACCACCTAACACAATACATCCCCCTCTGAATGCTCTCCTTTTAAATCACTTCCTAATCCTCCCCCAAGGAGGTTTCTCTTTCCCAGTTGCCCGCCATCATTCTTCCCATCACAGAGGGGAAGAGAGAAAACAGCACCTGAGCCCCCTCCCCAGCTTGCAATCTGCTTCTCCTTAAGAGATGGCCTTCCCCTACTCAGAGGCCTCCCCCCTTTATGCTACCAATCTGAAGCCATGCACCCCCTCCCTCTCCAAGATTGCCCCGCTGGCTTATACCATACCCCATTATCCACACCAATGTCTGAGCTAGCAGAGATAACGAGACAGTTGTAAACAGAATCCCCAGCCACATCACTTTCTCCCATGCCCCCAACATGCATGTGTTCTGACTTATAAGTCACTTCCAACTTATGGTGACCCTATATATTAATGACCTCCAAAGCATTCTATCCTTAACAGCCGTGCTCAGGTCTTACAGACTGAAGGCCGTGGCTTCCTCGATGAGAGTCCATCCATCCATCTCATGTTGGGTCTTCCTCTCTTCCTGCTGCCTTCCACTTTTCCTAGCACTGTTGTCTTTTTCATTGACTCTTGTCTCCTCATGATGTGACCAAAGTTACAATAGCCTCTGTTTAGTCATTTTAGTTTCTAGGAAGAGTTCAGGCTTGATTTGGTCTAGGACCCACTTATTTGCCTTTTTGGTGGTCCATGGTATCCGTAAAACTCTCCTGCAACACCACATTTCAAATAAATCAAGTTTCTTCCTGTCAGCTTTCCCACACTGTCCCACTTTCAGACCCATACACAGTAATGGGGAAGACTACAGTGTGATCTTGGTCACCAGTGACACCTCCTTACATCTATGAATCTTTTCTAGCTCCTTCATGGCTGTCCTTCTCAGTCTCAACTACCTTCTGATTTCTTGGGTGCAGTCCCCCTTTTGGTTGAAGATGGAGCCAAGGAACAGAAAAGCTCTAACAATTTCAGAGTGTTCATTCTCAACTTTAAAGTTGCGTAATTCCCTAGTAGGCATTACTTTTGTCTTCTTGATGTTCAACTGCGATCTTGCTTTGGCGCTACCTGCTTTAACCTTCATCAATAGTCGTTTTAAGTCTTCACTCTTTTCTGCCAGTCATGTGGTGTCACCTCCATTATCTGATTAATGTTCCTTCCACCAATTTTCACCCCTTCATAAAAATCGAATCCAGCTTTATGATACGTTGCCCCCAACATACACACCCTCTAAGAGTAGCACCTCCCAACACATACCCCTTTCATCCCTCCACAATTTTCCTTTCTCAGGGCCCAACAGTTTCCTTACACACACCCCCGAAGGTGTTTGTCACCTTCCTGCTCTAATGCAACCGCACCCCAACTTGTACTCCCCCTTCCCTTAGTTCCCAATTCCCCCCAATGCAAGATTTTTGGAGCGATTCCTTCTTTCCATTTTGACCTCTCTCCCACTTTCTCCACCCTTCCTCCTCTATAGACCAACCCCTCCACTTTCTGTTACAGGCTCACAGATTTTGCTCCTAGCACCCCTCTTATTATTAGCTCTGCTTCCGAACCCCAGTCCTTCTCTCCTCTTCCATGCCAACTTGAGGCTTTCCTCCTACCCCATCACTTCCCCACTTTGATCCATCTCCCATCCACATTATCTAGGCGGGAGGGGGGAGGATGTCATAAGATCTGGTTCCACCCCACCCCCCCCAGCTTTTATTAACAGCCTCCCAACTCCAGACACCCCCATTCAGGGAGGCTTCACGGCTCCTGGCCCCCCTCTCTGTCACTCCCACCAACAGTTCCCCCACCTTAGCACCTCCCCATTTGTCTAAGGGTCCCCACCATCGACCCTTTGCCCCCTCCAATCCCCCATCCGTATAGAGACTGCAGACATTTCCTTCCACTGATTCCATCTCCATACCCCCATCTTTATTCCGTTATAGGGGAAAGGCCCCATTTCCCATTGACCACCCCCACACACACGTTTTATTAAGCCGTGGCTCCTCCCTTGCATAGGGGGGAAGGAAATCTGGAGCAGGCCACACACTCCATTTTGCCCCCAACCATCTTTTAGGGGAGAGCCATGCAGCATAGGGGCTCTGGCCATCTTTTTAACCTCGTCTCCCCACCACACACACACACTTTCACTTTGGAAGGTAAAGGGGCTCCTGGCCCCTCCCATTTTTGAACCCCCTGTCCTATTAGGACTCTAATTTGGGAACCACCAACCCCACAGCCCCCCCCTCTTTGGGGAACGGGTGCATCCCAGTCCCCTCTCAACATCACCCCCACGGAAGGTGGAAGGTCCTAGAGCATGCCCCATTTAAGACCCCTCCCGAGGGGGGGCGGTCCAGCCCCCGCCCCAGTTAAGACCCCCTCCCCAATACCAGCTCCACCCTTCTTGGAGGGGGAATCAGGAGCCAGGATTCCCCCCCCCCCGGAGCTCTCACCATGGTGACGGGGGGGAGGGGACCAGGCGTCGCGACCTTTCAGCTCTCCGCTGGTGTCCGTCTCCTTCCGCCCCGGGCTGAATCGCCGCCCCCTCCCCGCTCTTCTCGCGCCCAACGGCAGGACGCGAACGTTTCTCGACCTCACGCCCTCGCGTGCGTATCCCTCCGCCCCCGCAAACGAGTCCCGACACCCGGCCGCAGCATTAAAATAAACGAGGGGGTGGGGAGGTGGAGAGACAATCTCGAGGAGCAGCCGTAGTAGCAGGTCGTGGCCGCCGCGCCCTTTAAATAACGTCCGGTCCCGCCCCCTTCCCCTGTCACGTGGATGATCAGCAGCCGTCCCATTGGATTAGCCTCACCTGCATTGCGTCAGGGGAGGCCGCTTAAAGGGGAAGACCCGAGGAACGGGGCGGCGGGGGGTGGGTAGATGGGCCGACAGAAAAATGGAAGTAGGTTAGAAATGACGGGAGGGGGAAGGACCTTAAACTGAAGAAAATTCGGCCTGCATTTTCACATTTAAAGGGGATGTTGGAATTAAAGGGGAAACAGCAGGGAGGGGGGGGGGAATGACCAATGGAAGGGGATGATCAGGTGTGAGAACCTGAATGTGGAATTTGAAGTACTCAAGCTGGTGGCACTGAATAAATGGAGGAATAATACGAGGTTCATGTGGCGTTGGCCTTCAAAAACGTTAGAAAATAATTCCTTTTTAATCCTAACGGTTTAGGAATCTGCCCCATATACAGGGCAGATAAAGTCCCAGGAGGATCTTGAATGACATTAAGAGAAGGGACCGTGTCTCAGTGGTAGAGCATCTGCTTGGCATGCAGAAGGTCCCAAGGTTCAATCCCCACATCTCTAGTTAAAAAAGACCTCTGCCTGCAATTTTGGAGAGTTGCTGCCCGTCTGAGTAGACAATACTGACCTTGATGGACTGATGCTCTGATTCAGCATAAAGCAGCTTTGTGTGTGTTTAAGATCACTTTGTTGTTGTTCAGTCGCACAGTCGAGTCTGACTCTTCGCGACCCCATGGGCAAGATCCTGCCAGGCCTTCCTGTCTTCCGCCGTCCTCTGAAGTTTGCTCAACTTCATGTTCCTTGCATCTATGACACTGTCCAACCATCTCATCCTTTGCCATCCCGTCTTCTTTGACCTTCAGTCTTTCCAAGAATCAGGGTCTTCTCCAGTGAGTGCTCCCTTCTCATTTGGTGGCCAAGTGACTTTTGTTGGCAGGGTGATGTCTCTACTTTTTATCATGCTGTTTAGGTTCGCCATCGCTTTCCTCCCAAGGAGCAGGTGTCTTTTAATTTCATGGCTGCTGTCACAGTCTGCGGTGATCTGGGATCCCAGGAACGTGAAGTCTGTCACTACTTCCACAACTTCCCCTTCTATTTGCCAAGGAGTGATGGGGCCGGATGCCATGATCTTAGTTTTTTTGATGTTAAGCTTCAAGCCCACTTTTGCGCTCTCCTCTTTTATCCTGAGCAAGAGGCTCTTAAGGTCCTCTTCACTTTCTGCCATTAGAGTGATATCGTCTGCATATCTGAGGTTGTTGATCTTTTCCCCAGCAATCTTAATTCCCGCTTGTGATTCATCCAGGCCAGCATTTCGCATGATGTACTCTGCATATATATTAAATAAGCAAGGTGACAATATACATCCTTGTCGTACTGAAGTAGGCATTATTATTCCTTGCCCATGTAAGGGGATAGTTGCTGTTCATGTTCTAGTCATAAGGGGGCAGAAGTGAGCTTGTTTGGTTTGGGCGGGAAAAGTAAGCCTAGTCAATGGAAACTTCCACTCTGGTGATGTAAAATGTGACGTGTAACCTTGTTGCAGTATAAAA